GATGTTTGATTTCCTGGTTTAACAGAATTCTAGGACTATGCTAAATTATCAGACTTAAGGAATTACAAGCATGTATGCTAAGAATACTGAGGATATATAAAAGTTATAGAAAAGGTATAGAAAAGGCAAAAAATCATCTTTGCATCAGGAGTAGTTAATTAAGTGTAACTAAGTAATCTCAACAGTAATTAATAAATAAAATTAATAAATAATAAATAAAAGTACATTTAACTAAGTAATCCAAACAGGTCTCTTGCAACCTCAAGCACTCTGTAATTCTAAAGCAAGGTCTCTCAGACACCAAATCCAGAACAGTGGAGAATTCTATGTTTCACTGAGTACTAAAGATGCTAGTAACCTCTTTTTTTTTTTTATTTCCCTTTGGTTCTTTTTGAACTAGAACTTCTAGACACAAGTATAGCAACCCTAGTGAGACCAACCTTTACATCTGAGATGCCTACTATAATGATAGTTTTATCTTCATTTATGGCCTTAAAATGACCCTGACTTGCATTACAGTATATTTGAAAATATATTTTTCCAAAAAGCTCCTTATTGGGAAAAAACCTCCCAAACTAAACAAAAAACATGAGGGAAATGGTTCCACTTACATTTCCATTTTTAGCACTTAAGTTTGACATGACCTTGAATTTCCCATGTTATAATCAGACACAAATAAGCACATTTACTGATGAGATTATACTTATTATTGTGGAGGACAACTCATGTATCTTTGTAGTCTGACTTTACTCCTATAGTTTTCTAGATGCACTTTAAAAAATTTTGAAAAATCCTCAGAACCGATGTGTTGCACTCATACAAATACCCTAGACTTAAGAGTACTCTCTCTAAGTATATATTCAATTCTCTCTATGTATATATTCAGCCTGGGTTATATCTAGGATATTAAAGTTAATTTTTGTAAAAAATGCATTTTAGATAAAATATCAGCCTAAAGAAGATCCATGACATGACAGTGCTCTAGGTGGATTGACTGTCATACTAAGAGACATATTTCAGAGCATGTGTAACGTCTGATTTTATTTTTTCCTTTAATACATGTAAGACAGACAATGAAACAAGCATTCTTGAGTTTTTCCCATGCTGAAGGAACAAGCATAATGGCTTAAGAATATTTATTACTCAAGAAAATTAAGACAAAAAACTTTTCCATGTGATACAGTATGCATAGCCTGTTGCTAGTAGATACTGATAAAATTTCACTGCTGTTCAAAGAATATTTTTAATTTCACCACAAACTGATAGCTGAGCTGAAGAATAAGACATAGCTTCCTTATTGTTCAGTTCAGATGTAAGAGTTTGTTAGCTTTTTATGTAAAAAACTAATACAAGGTAAGGACTTATAGGTTCAAAAATGTAAAGAAACTCCCCTGATTCTTCTTCATTGTGAATATCACTCATGTATAACTTAGCTTTATAAGTCATTAACTTTTGATCTGATTTGAAAATGTCCTTTAAAATTCCAAGGAAAGCTCTATTGCCCATCCCTGTTCACCAATAAGCAAAGGTCATTGTACCCAAGGACAGATAATCATCCAAAAGTCAAAAACAATGCCAAGTAGTCTTACAGCAGTAAGAAGCATTTTAGTGATTCTCTTAAAATATTTTTAAACTCAAGTGTCTCGAGTAGAAGAGGCTCATGGATCAGCAATTCAGAACTCTGTTTAGTAGCTGATAGCCTACTTTTATTTATATAACCATAACATTTCTGACACACTAATAGCAAACAACCTACAGCTTTCTGCTTCTGCTTGGTGTGTTCAGTTTTAGATATCTGAAAGATTAAAGTTTTGTTCTCAGTAAGAGTGGCTAATTTTGCAAACTAAGAGGTAACTGGGTAAGTAACTTAAAATACTCAAAGCAGAAAACCAATACATACAACCGTGCATAAATTATCACCACTCTGTACAACAAAGTACTTTTTGAAGTTACTTTTTCAGATATTCTTATTGCCCAGTAACCCATTTTGTACTATCAAATTAGCACAACCCAATGTATAGATCTATTTGTCTTATGGTCTACTACAAAGAAAATGAGATAGGTAATAAAAATATTCTATTCATGAAGCCTGTCTCTATACAGGAAGCTTATTCATCTACATTAAGGAAAAAACATTTCTGATACTATCAAAAACAGGATGCTGGGAGACTAGAGACTAGAATACAATATTTTGAACACTTATCTAGGGATATTCACTTTCATTTGAACAACTTACATAGAAGCAGAAAACAGAAAGGTTGAGACTGTTTATAAAATACCTGTATCTGAGGCTCAAGTTTTGACACAGGTTGGAAGAGTCATGCCATGGCATCAAGCAGTCAGCCATGTCTCACCTAACTAAGGCTGCTTAAAACTCATACATGCTCCCTTATCAGGCACCAGAGTGAAGGCATCCATCCCACCATGAACAATCACCATCAGGAACGTTGATATGAACCAGAGAACTCAGCTCCATGAGTCACATCAGTGACCAGAGCAGCACCTGCATCTGAGGATTTTACTGCAGTTCAAGATCAAAAGTTATTCAAAGATCACTTCTGGAATTGACTATGAGAGACTTTAGCATCAGCATAAGTGACAATGACTTCATACACAACAAATAAATAATAAAACATGATTAACAAAATGTAGAGCTTAAACCATTCAGTTATACTTGGAAAATATCGGGATACTGGACTATGTTAGGCCTGCACAATTAAAAGATGAAGAGAAATCTGAATAAAATAACTATATCCTCTCTCACACACACCCCATCTTACTCCAAATGACCATTTTTTACTGCTAGTTTCACTTTGAAATTTAGGTGGTTTGTATTCCTCACAGTGTATTTCCACTCTTTAGATCTGTTCTATGGACACTGGATATATTGCACAATTAATTCCTTCCTTGATTGCCCACGTTCTCTAATATACTAGAAGAAAGGAAAGCATTTGAAAACTGACTTATCTAGAAACCAGCGAAAAGTCTTGCTATCTTAAGCAACACAAGGGTAGCAAAGTGAAGCCTCAAGCTGTCATTTTTTTGCAGTTATGGGATGGAAAGAAACCAACTGTCTGCAAATTGTTATTTCACTTTTTTTGTCAGGTTTCAAGAGTTGATATCAAACCTAGAGGAGCCCACCCCAGCTGGCTAAATATTTGCCTGTAACTCCTTCCCTCCAAGTATCCTCATTTGCCTCATTACACTCATTTTGGGTAAGGATTCCAAGAAGATGCATTCAGTGCTCCAGGCTCTGGTGGGGGAGTGTGATCTGTAAGATGTTATTGTTAGAGCTTTTGTAGGAATAGCTTGCCTTTTCCCCACTCTCTTTAACTTTTGCCTCCTACTGCTCTGCTGTTGCTGGCATCAGCCAACATTTCCCCGAGCAAAGCCTTGGGCACTCTCTGGCACAGCTTCTTGGGCAAAGGTCTGAATTTAATGTGTTGCAACAGGCTGAAAATTCTGTAGTAACTTTATTGAACTATATCTCCACGTTTCACAGTTAATACATCATCCTAAAAGAAATATACCACATATTTCAGAAAATGCTGAAAAAGAGAAAGGCACCTATTCCCAACCTCTGTATTTCAACTCCTTAGACTTTTCTCATTCCAATTAGAAGAGATGTTTCTAAGGTTTATTCCATACCAGCCAGTCCATGGTTATAGAAATTTAAGCTTAGCTCAGAAACACCATCTTTTTCTAAGAATCAGAGCAAACCTCTCATGCAAAGCCCAACTGAGAAACCCACACAAGACCCAGAAGCAAGATGATTTCATTAAGCATTGATCCTGAAATTCCAGGCATCAAAAACAAGTTGAAAATACTTCTGAATAGTCTATATCTCTTACCTCATGAGTTTTGGCATTACTCCCATTTTGCCCACAGGCTGATACTGAAAATAAGAATTTGGTATTGGGGACTTTTAGAAAAATAAGCCAAAACATCATGAAATATGTTTCTTATTTCAGAGACACTTCTAGAAGTAGAATGATGAAAATATTTAGCTGAAACTAAAGTCAGGAAAATATTGTTTAAAAATAATAACTATTCCAATTTTTGGTAAATATACTGGGTTTCATAATATTGGAAGTCAGTATGAGAAAATGTTTAAAATTGTAACTTCTTTAAATTCTTGAAAGAAAAAAATCACTGTCAGGACTATCATCCTCTTCACCTAAATTTACCAGATACAGTGCAACTCTTACTTTTAATGGACATTTAATTGATGCACTGTTAAAGCAAACTAAAGAGAGCATTTAATTTACATGTAGAAAGAACAGTGAAGGATATCCCAAGATTAAAATCACACTAGTGGCCCAAAAGACTTACATTGTGAAGGAATATTAAAATTATTGTGATTAGTGACTAGCAAGAATCTGTCATTTCCCTCTTTTAATAATGTTTATGCAGGTCACAGGGACACTCAGTTCCACTGAGACATCCAACTCACAAGGTAACTTGTCAAACTTGTAATAACAGAATTCTTAAAAATAAAAAAAGACTAACATCAAGATTTCACATTAAACATATATTCAGACACCTTAAATGCTTAGGTTCTATTCTATAAATAACATGCATCAACCATTTTCGTTCTGTTCCTCTTGGATTTAGTATTAGGTAATGAACAAAATTACACCAATTATGACAATTAGCAATAACACCCTCTATTAGCACACTTTTGCTTTCCAAAGCATTACTGAAAGACACATCCATTATTTCAATATCCAAGGTCATTTCTACAGGCACTCCTAAGTGTGGCTTTTTTGTACAATGGTAAGTCACTAATTATGCTCTTAGGGCAGTATTTTAGGTTCAAAGTTGAGCATGTTAAAATAGGGTGTATGAAAACAGGTGCTGTGGGCTTCATGCAAGTCTGTACTAAGACCCCTCTGAGAGGATAACATCACCTTAAATACCTCAGACACTGAGACCATGTGTACGTAAAGATGTTGGATGGTAAAATGTAACCATGTTTTACTAATGATCTTTTTACTTACTTCTCCATCACATTTCTTTCATGAATACCACCAGATGCAAGGATCACATGTGTAATTTCACATATTCCTGTGCAGGGAAAAATAATAATTCAATTATACAGAAAAAAATTAATCACAGATGCACAGAATGGTTGAGGTTGGAAGGGGCTTCTGTAGATTGTTCAGTTCAATTGTCCTGTAAAAGCATCATTAACAGAGTAGGTTGTCCAGGGTCTTGTCTGGCTGGGTTTTGCCCATCTCCAAGGCTGCATAACCTGGAGATTCAAGATTTTGCTTTACTCAGCTAAACCCACTTGACACAAATTTAGATTTAAGATGCCTATAAGTTCTGCTTTTTTGCTAAGTTCAAAGTTTTGACAGTGGCACAGCTTCACAACCATGAACCAAGGAGTGAGTACTGAAGAGGAAAAGGAAAATTCTCTTACTGTGGCTACAAAATCCATCGGTTAAAGCAGGAATTATGTGAGTTTGTTGGTCCAACATTTTTTGCTGTGAGGGCTTAGTCTAAGACAAGAGCATTTGCACAGGTTATCAAACAAGTTAATATCTTCAATTTGCTTTGAGGTTATCAAGCAATCAAATGCTCTGAACAAGCTCAAATGATTTAAAAACAGTCATAAATAATTCTCTGTTATTTGGGCAGCGTGAGGGGAGTTGTTAGTTTTTTTTTTGTTTTCTGAAAATGAAACATTACTTATGGGATTAAGATCTGATCATAGCAACAGTTCCCACAAATACAGAAAGTAGTTGTGTCATCCCCAGTGGTCCGTCCCTACACATTGGGTGGAAAATTTGGAAAAGAAATCTCTTGAACCTGAATAATCAGTGTATTGGGTGGAGCACTCACTTTTCTGCACTGAATATTCACCTCTGGAACTGAGTTCAAATCCAAGTCAAACTGATGTAACAGAAAATTCTCCAAACAGAGCATTAATAACAAAACATCTTGTCAGAAATCAGCTTGAGAAAGATAATGTCTACAGCAAACTATTTTTTATTTTTATTAGCTGTTGAACGTTATGGTCAGGGTATTATAGAGCTGTGGTCTGAAAGATAAATCCTTAATACTTTGTTGTGCCTTTCAGGATTGCAACTGCTAAATTAGATACTAACTGTTGAAATTTATTTCTTTGTTTTAATCTCTGAAGGATTTATAATTCAGAGGATAAACCGAAGGATGTGGAAATTGAACTTCACAGAGAAAAGTACCTAGCCTAAGAATAAATATTCAAGCCAAATTCCAGTAAGAGCAGGTTTTGGGGCACAGAAAATACACCTGTATCTCATCCTTTTCTGATTGTAATCATTTTCCCTATCTGGAGAAACCATTCTGACTGAGACAGAGGAATTCCAAAAGGCAGGAAAGTACAGAAGTTCCGCTGAATGTTGCTTCTCTGTACTTTTCATATATGCTAGATCCAAACAGTATCAGCAGTGCAATGTCTTGAGAAAGGTGCTGTTCTGTCTATGTTTGATTTTGGCTGAAAAAATAATTCTAGAAACGCCACTGAATTCCCAAGCAGAACTGCACAACCACAGGTTCGCAACAGGTAGTTGTACTCTTGAATGTTAATCTGTGATTAAATATGCCTTTTATATCCATCAACTTCATAGTAGTAAAATGTTTGGTTTACTTCAGTTAATAACAAGAATGCAAAAGTCATCATGAGACTGCTTCAGAGTATATTCAAGTCATATATGACCTCCCTAAGTACGAAATTTGTCGAAGTCTCATGAATTCAGAAACATACATTGAGACAGATAACAGAATCCAAAATTTAGTCTCTAACAACAGCATTGAATAAAGCTTTAGGTTAGCACACTGGCACCTATGAAACAATACAAAGTGAGCCAGTGACTTCAGTGTAACAGATGACAGAGATGTAGTTCCAAACCCCCAGGCACAATGGGTATGAAACAAGACGCCTTAACCTCCAAAATTAACATCAGAGGAATTTAATCAAAACTACATTCAGTGATATTTGGTGACCCTCTTCTGAAATTTAAAGATAAAAAAAGCTCTGCTGTGAAAAAGTATTAATATCAAAAAACACTTGTGGCATCACTGTTCATATTTGGCCTATAGGATGAAGGAATTAATTAATTTTGCACCATATATAGGGCAATGCTCTAGGAAAAAGGCAGATGAAAGAACCCAGCTTCTCCCTACTGTCTACTATAAGGATTTCCATTAAAATAACCAAGAAGTGGTTAAAAAAAACCTTGCTTCTTTCACCCACCTCATGAAGGCTATTTTTTTTTTTTTTTCCATTTGAAGCAGGAAAGAAAAACTGGAAGTGAATATTTTTTGACAAACCTTTGTGATAAAATGAAGAATAAGGCAAAGTATTGCTGCAGGTCTGGCACAAAATGAGCCCATGTGACCCAGCTGAGTGCACAGAAGCATGCTTTCCCTCTGATTAATATTAAATCTGTCTCTAAGGAAAAGTACTTACCTGAACAATTGATTTTCTATGAAAGGTGACAGTGCAAACTTGGGAAGAAAATTCTTCAATTTCAGAATAAATATTTTTGAAGAAGTATTTTAGAAATATGTGTATTTTTTTAGGAAGAAAATACAGCTCAGAGCCTGAATGAAAAGGCAGGGAGCTCATCAATAAGCCTCAGGCTTATTCAGCCAGGAAAGCTTTACATTTCACATTCCTTACTCTGACATTTTCTTACTAACTGTCCTCAGAGATAATAAAGCAGCAGGTTACAGTCCAATGATTTCAATTCCCTAGAGGATTTTGGTCAGATGCTCCTTCTTAGATGCACCATTTCATATTTACATCAGTGTGAGAGGCATTAGAGTTCACAGCAGAATCACAAAAGGTATTTTTTTTTAAGTACCAGTTTTCCAATAAATGTAATGAAAAAAATAATGAATTTTTAGGCTCATTTCCATAACCTCTGTTCTGGAAAAGTCTTCCATATTCTTTCATTATACATTCCATTCCTGCCTAAGAAGACAATGCAGACTTAAAGAATCCTCAGAAGCTGCAGAAACAGGTTTTTAAAACTTACTGCTATACACAATTTTTTCCAAAATTGTTACTGGCAGGTTACACTGGAAGTGGCGTTACTCTGTTAGTGTCAAAGCTTTGATGCTTGATAAAAAGAGATGTAGAACATGTAAACATGTGAAATGATATCTGAAACTTTCAAGTTATGGAGGATCCCAAGGTTATAATTTTATTTGAAATAAGCACTTTGAAAATAGTGCCTGTCAAGACCTTGTAAGATTCAGCGTTCTCAGAAAGTTATTCTGCCCTATGAAGAGACACTTCTTAATAAACACTGAGCAATTATTCAAACTGCTAAGCACACCACAGAGAGCAGGCACTCTCACAGCTCTGGAAATCCCTGTCAGGAACAGAGCTGAACTGTTTGAAGCTCTGGGGATTGTATTCTAATGGCCTGAATTGATCTGTCTCTTTCTTTTCTTCAATACTTACTCTCAATGAATCTACAAATACATCATGAAATGCTTCCATGTGTAGTCACATATTAAAACATCCAGTTTTAGCAATTTTAAACAACATTTTAAACAACATTTAAAACATTAAATCTTCCTTCTAAACAACTTGTACTCTTAGGCTATAATATTATCTCTAAATGCGTTGTGGAAACAGACTGGGAAAACTTGAGAACAACAGGAATTGCTGTTATCCCAATGAAAACAGGATAAACTTCAAGGAATATTTGCTTGCTCTGATCAGTGATATACCCAAACAGTATAACCAACCAAAATGTTATAAAAGGCATTCTTATGTCCATCACAATTTATTCTGAACTAAGTATGTTCCAAGATTTTCCATCTTTGTGACTCAATCATTCTGGATGCTATTGCTTTCTCATTTACACTGGTTCAGCACTTTGTGCATCTCCTAGTTAATGAATTATAATTCATTAAATACATTATATTTGTTAAGTATGTGCTGGAATATACAAACATACAACTGAGAAGAAAACTTGTCACAGTTAAAAACATATCAGTGAAGATTCCCAATGTCAACCACATCTATTAGCAACGGAAAAACTTTAAAACACTTCAGTACTACTTTTACTATTCATGTTTCATTTAAATTGCTTTCTGTAGGATTCAGGCTTATTTCAAAAGAAATACAGCTGGAAAATAGCTGGACTTATAGGAATATTGGTCCAAAAATATGATCAGCTGTGATTAGTTATGTTTTACATATCTGATTTCTACAACCCTCTCTCAACACAGTCAAATACTAAACAAACAAATAAACTTCATTTGTACAATGACAATATCTAACAAATACCCTTGTTCCCTAAGGTTTAATTGTGGTGGGCAAATTTAAAAAGTCACCTAATAAAGAAATGAAAGTTTCAAACTCAAAATTATATCTGCATAACTTGTAATTAAAAGCTATTTCACAGCAAAATAATCTACATTTCAAAATAGACAGAAGCAGTGGTAAGAGTTTAAGAAAATATTATCAGAGTATTTTATTACAAAACTAACCAACACTAGGCTGCTCCAAGCTTACTACTGAAGCATTAATAATTACAAAACTCAATTATCACACAAACTGGATGGAGAGGAAGAAACTAAATATATTGTGTGACTTGAAGAGAAACTAAAACCTCAGAGCACAGCTCTCACTGCACTTTCGTAAGCAACAGATTTTAGTGCAGCCACTGGTTTACAAAAGATTTTCCCAAGTAAGGCAAAACATCTAGCTAGTGATTTATGACAATAGTAGGAAGTGCACTTGGAGCTGGGGCTGCTCCCAGAATTTTTGCAAGTATAGCACAAAACGTTCTCTTTGATACAATTGACTTATATGGGTGAGTATATAATAAACACAGCATTCTGCAGCTCTGTGAAGTGAGAACAAAGAGCTTATTTAATTATTTTAAAACTTTAGGAAAGATTCATTAATACTCTAAAATACGCAAAATTGCTTACAAGAGTAGTTAACATTTCTACCAGAAACTAAGCTATTACACATGGCCATCAGGTTCTGCCAGGGATTCATCTCTTCAATTTACTTTCTGGTTTTTCATGCTTTCTGTGGTAAATGTAAGT